ATCTAGACTAATCTTTAACTTCTCATAAACATTCAAATCATTTTATGGATAACTAGCTGACGTATCCGCTCTCGCGCGGGCAGTTTCATATTGTAAATCATATTTTAGTTCGTACATACAGACTAGACTGTAATATACCGTGAATAAATAAGCAGCATAGAATTTTATATAGTGCAATATGAATCACATCGATTTGCGGCTTTTTAAACTTTTTTGTCTGCCTCAGCTCATCGTTAGCTAAAGAACATTGTCGCTTGACTGTTCCTTCGACTAACTTTGGCCAGCAGGAATAAATGGGCTGTTGAGCGCCGGGCGAGAGGCCAGCGACTGACGATCGAAATACAATGTAAACAGATAAGGAATGAAACGCATGAATGCAAATTTAATCTTTTATAGTTTTCAGTATACATTCATTAAAGTGTCACGAATGAACTGAGGAGATTCTGTCGGTGGAAATGAGTCCAAATACGACATCATTCGGATTATTTTCAATAATATATCATTTTCATCCGCAACATTACGTATGAGTAACAATTGTCCAATTACACTCGAATTTGGACGCATTTTAATCGGGAGAATTTCTTCAATTCATTCATGAGATTTTTATTAAAATATATTGCAAATTGTAAAAGTTTAAATTTTCATTCGTGCGTCATTCCTTATCTCATCTACGTCTGTTTACATTGTATGCCGATGGGTCGGTCGCTGGCCTTGGACATTCGGCGAGAATCGAAATCTCGCCACGAGCCGTAGGCCGTAGCTATTCCATTGTTCTCCTTACGGGTAGAATTGCATGCGGGACATGAGGCAACAGCGTCAGAAAAACGATACTGTCCGGCAACACTATCTTCGCGTAGAAAAATACACAAACCCAGCTTGATGGTAACGGGGAACAAAATTTATTTGTGGGTACAGCCGCTAGATGTCGTATTATCAAGCCGTCCCAAATATCGATTTTGTGTTTCCGCTGGCGTCCGATTGTTTACATCAGCGCTTCGATCGATTCGGAGTTGGCCCCAAAGGAGTCTCCCCCCTTAAAGGCTCGAGCGTTAAAGACTCAAGCTTCGAACCTTGAGGGTTTGAACCGCGACTCGAGCTGTTAAAGCTCAAGACTCGAGGCTTATTTTAACAACACTAGCACCAACTAACATTTCCTAACGGCTTCCTGATTTCGCATCAGGTTCGTCTGTACAGATTTTCCACCCTCCTCGCAACTCCTAGGCTACGCGTTCAGTTCGTCTGCAAAATCGATCCTAGTGGTTTTCGGGTTCGTTCACGAGTTTCACCTACCTGCGACTCCCTGATTTCGCATCAGGTTTGTCCGCAAGTGACTCCATTCCTAGAGGCTCCCTGATTTCTCAGCAGGTTTGTCCTCACTTTCAAACATTCTAGCGGCTCTCTGGTTTCGCGTCAGATTCATTCGCGCACCTTACTAATAAACTGATACCATATTCCTTGGAAAACCTACACTCACCGGCCTCTCGCGTTGCTACGACCCGGGCTCGTAACAGTACAATAAATGACGCATACCGTATATATGAATTGCTTGAGAAAAATAATTGACTGTTCGCTGAGATATTAACGTCACATTTGCGATTTGCAATACCTACCGACGTTCATATCAGAAAACGCAAACTAGCCACGAAGTTGACGCCGAAACCTGCGTCACGTGTGAACTGCTTCATACACTGCAAGACAGAAGTTTATGAGCACCCCAATTTTTGCGGTAATACCGTCTTATTCAGCGTCCCAAAAAACCCTTTTCCGTAAGCTTTTCAATTAAAATTCATACATTACACGTTTTTATTAATGAAAATCAGTTTTTCGGCTGTGACTAAAGTTTGTGAACACTTTGACAAAGAACAAATTTATTGAAAAAACAACAACATTTAATAATGATTCACAATATCGACACTGATTTAATAGTTGAGCTGTCCTCCTTTCTTCCTGATAATGTCAAAACTATGAGTTCTCGTGGAATCAATCAATTATTGAAGCAGATTCAGCTCAAGATGCTGTTAAGCTGCTAAAAATGCAGTTTTTAGCTGTTCCAAAGACTCATATTCTTTATTATTCGCGTATACACGACGAACCAATATCGCCCAGGCGTTTTCCATGGGATTACGATCTGGCGATCGGGCAGGCAACTCGTGTGCGCCGGGCCTTAAAGAACTTCTGACTAGACAATTTCTATGTTCACAAGCTTCTTTAACCCTTGAGAAAGTTCACAGCTTTTCATTAAAAAATTTTTGACGAGAGTCCTCTTGAAATGTGGCAAATGCTTTTAAGATCATGTTTTTACCACCTAAAAGACTTTTACAAATTCGCTGTGCCTTGTCCATTAATAATATGACATTGGTTAATTATCAATCAATATTTAGCTGTTTGTTATAATACTTAAAATTATTTAATACATTGATCGTCACAGTGAAAAAGGCCGTATGTAACCAGACACACTTTATTTCGTTTTTAAAGTCATAAATCGTCGAAAATATGTCCATTTAGTTAACAGAGGCTATTCATCTTGTTTTAACTTATACTGCAATATTAATTTTGCCCAAAAGTATGGAATGGTATTTAAATAATCCAGTCTCTTTGGAATGTACGTGTCACCCTTATTTCGGTGATGCGTCAGTCAAAGTGTTAAAATTCTTAATTATCCTTAATAGCTTTTCCTGGTATTATCAAGAAATTTAAGATTAAAATTAATATTGAGATGTAGGTTTAAAGTGTATGGAAAGATAAATAACTAATAAATGATTTTCTATCAAATATTAGTGATAAAAGTTTTCTCTTATTTCCAGCTTTTTAAATATGGCTCAGCCTATGCAGAATATGGATGTAACCAGTTCTTTCATCTCAAACAACACGAATAACGATTCAAGTAATCAACATTACCATTAATGTAATAGAAAATGTATAGAATACTCTTAAAATATTGAGATCACACATATTTTCAAAGTGTAATAAGAAAAGTAATAAGAAACTCATACTGATATATTTTCTAGACAAATTTTACAATCAAGAAATAACAATGAGCAATAGAAACAAAATAAACTTGGGACAGATACATAGTGGTTTTATTGATATGTCAGAAAATTATGAAAATCAAGGATTTCTACATAGAGTATCCATTGATGTTAAATCATTAGAAGCCACATTTCCATGGCTTGTTAAATTTCACAAAGTCATGTATTCATCTGTGGGAAGTAGAAATTCTAAGCTGTTGGAACATTTACTTTCACTTTATACACAGTAAGACAATTATTTAATCTAAAAATGAAAATAAATTACACTTAAAAATCTATTAAATTTCAATTAATAGAGAGAAATCAAATGATTTAAGTAGATATTACTTATTTCAGGAATATTTTAAGTAGTATAAACTCGTATCGTGAACAAGCATTTGACATGATAAGATTGAAGAATCATATAACTAGAACCTTAACATTTTTTCATCTTTACTGGCGCGATATGAAAGAGGTACTATAAACATCCTTATTTAACATTTTGGCAATTACGGATTATATGATTTGAACTAATAAAATAAATTAGTTGGACTAATGAATAAAATAAAGTTTAGAAGGAAATTTAAAATAAAGAATAACGAGTAGTAAATGTCCTTGAGTATGTAGATCAATCGCTAATCAGTTGCCAAAGTATAAAAACATACTAAGCAACAAATCATTGAAAATTAACTCTTCAATTCTTTTATAGTTTGTTGGCGATAGTGATTCATATTTAAATACAATGTCACTGCTGTTAGGTGTATACATAGACATGGAACTTAAAACTTTTAAACACACTAAGGATTCGTCTTCGATAGTTGCAAAACTTCTTTCTGCACTGTGGATATATTTAAGTAAGTTAACATTGGTAGTAATTAACAAAGGAACAAAATACGTCTTTATAGAATTTTTACATAATGTAAAATTTCATTGTAGATAATATGAAACAAAATAATTAATAGTGTTTGTATGATATCTTTGTAATTTTAAATGGAAATAGTATTTTTATATGTCAGAAAATTTAATTATAGATCATTCAGAGAGGCATATCTTCAGAGTGATACTCAAGCTGAAACACATCACTAAGAAGTGTGTGAGAATATATGAACCAATAATCATGTATGTAACTATTTATGTAACTGACATTATTGTTTAGTAACCTTAAAATTTTCTTCATAATATTGTTTTTTTATGTTAGGAAAAGCTTTGCTATTTTGAGACGAAACATAGAATCTCTGACAGATATAGAGTACATCAGGTATTTACTTGTATTAAAAATGTTGAAAAGAACAAAGGAAACTATTGAAGAGATGAAAGAAGTAAATAAGATGGCTCTCATAATCTTAGGCCCACAAACACCAAAAATGCGAGACGAACTTTTAAAAATTTTACCAAAACCTTCTGTTGGGCATGAAAACGAAACACTTTGGTTGTTACAACCAAATGTATTTGACTTGAAAGCAGCATGTAGTAATTTCTTAACCTTCGAAGACTTAGTATCCGTGCAGTCAAAGAATTCTGATGCAACTAATTGTCAGAAGTCACAGGTAATCTTCTAAAGATATCAATTTTCTTGATTTTAGATTTCTAAAGTTTTTCATGTTATATTTTTTAGACCATTTCACTGTACGGTGTCAATGTTGTCGAAGAATGTAATGTGAATCGTGAGTTCAATAAAAATGAAACAAGTAATTTTTCCCAGAATGTAGTCATTGAGAGTGGATACAGACAAAAAGAAGAAGAAAAATAGTAAGAGAAAATTGGAGTGGTTGAAAATGATGAAGAAAAAGTGTAAAGTGCAAAAACCAGTGGTTAGAAACAAAGTAAAAATCGCAGATGCTCACAGGACTGAAAATTCTGAAAAATCTGTGGACAAGATCATTCTGAAATATTTACCAATTTCTGACAATAAAGTCAGTGAACATACAGAAAGCTATGCTTCAACAGAACAAGATAATATTCATGATTATATTCATAATAAAAAAAATAAAGAATTAAAATGCATGTTTCAGCATAAGCAATGCAATAACTGTATTTTGTCATTCAAACAGGATGATATTCAACAGAACAGAATTTTATCTTTGTTGAAACTTTTAAATGTTGTGGGACAAAATATTAGGGAACCAAAAGTCACATTTAGAGAGGAAAATCTAATGTCTTCTCAGCATATGTTTATTTGTGGCGATGCAAACAGTGAATCTAGTGAAATAAATACTCAGGGTAAGGAGAAATTCTTATTACAGCCAAGTAGTTCTGTACAGACAATACTTTTATCAAAAGAGTGCCAAAATAATATAACAACTACAGACACTCAATCCATAAAACAAGAATTACCGACAAGCACAGACTGTAATATAATTGAGTCTGACTGTCAAAGTGAGTCTGTTTATGTGAAAAACAATTATCATTCACATGACGTGAGATCATTGGTAACTTCAAAAACTGCAAAACAGAAAAGTTCTTGTGATATTCATGAATGTACATGTCCTGTTACGGTAATTGCAGCGGAACCCTTCACTTGTCATAATTACAATATAATTAATCAAACAAACTGCGAAAACATATTGCAGGCTGCTGCAATTGATAATAATTCCAGCAACAAGAAATCGATCTGTAACAAGAGTATCGTCTGCATGCTGAACGATCTTGATAAATGTATGCATGTTTTAAACCGCATTGGTGAACACATCATGACAGTGCATACAGAGAAACAGCGACTGGAATGTTTGGAGAATAGTGAAGTCTGCGCCGTTACTACCACAGTGTTTGGGGATCAAAGCATAAAGTCAGGTTGGAATCAGAATACGAATCTGTTAAATTCAGAGAAACTAAGTAAATTTCTCGAATTATATGGGAAAAGAGAACTTTTAAATGTATGCAGCTGTACAGATATCCATAGACAGGAGAACCAAGATATTAATAAAATCTTGAATGAACTGAAATGTGAAAAATTACGGCCGAAAGATCTACATTCCTGTGAAAAGAATCATACTTTCTCTGAAACAAAATTAGTAGAAGGTTCTTTCTACAACCACATAAAGTCTGAGTTCGAGCAGTCTGAAAAAGCAGTGAAAAAGGAAAGTGTTGAAGCTTTTGGAACCATAACACATCAGTTTGAAAAAATGGCAGCAAATGGTCAGACAGATTATTTTCCATATGATCCAAAAAACATGGATGAATTTGAGAATATTGATATTCTAGATAGCATTCTAAATGGTGATATATCTATGGAAGACGAACAGGAAATTTTAGAAGATTCGCAGTCTTTGTTAATGTCACCAATCAGTTGCAATAACTCAAATAATGTACTAAACTGTATTACAGAATTCTTCTCACAGGTTGAGTATGTACATGTAAATGAGAAGGAAGATAAATATATTCCATCCAACACAAAAAATTCCTTGACACCGTTACCAGAAGGCAGTTTGGGAACAACTGGAATATTGAATTCTTTATTGGACTTTGAATTGACAAACATGGACACTCTACCAAACGATCTCATGTACTCTAATGTACAAACAGTTAATCCAAGACTGATAAAAAAGAACTTCGAAAGTGACAGTCTTTCAAGGGACAGAAATACTTCTGAATTGAATTCTTACACAGAAGAAACAGTTATGGTTGGCAGGAGCGATGAAAAGGATGGGCTTCCACAGAAGAAAATGGAATCATGTAACAGTAAGCGTGACTCTGTTAACAGTAGTGTCGATGTAGTTGGATTTGGATTGAACCCTAGCAACAAAGATGTTCTGCAATTCTCTTCTATAAATAAAAAAGTGTCAACAGATAATATATCTTCTGAATTAAAAGATCTGCTCTCTAAATCGAGCCTTTCTAGTCCTATTGACAAACTCAATACTAACATTGTAACAGAAAAATCTTATATTTTCCACAAGGAGTATGTCAATCATGTCCAATCCTTTAGTGATACGATGAATAATGTTTTGCCTGAAATATGTACTTTCAATGATATTCCATCAGATACTGTAATACACTGTGTAGGTCAGCGAAATGATAAGCATACCTACATGGAACTTGAGTCAAGTCCTGTGAGGAAACAAGAACCATTCGATTGTGAACTATTGTTTTCAACAGACTTGGTGGCACCTAACAGTATTACAGTGTCACAGAGTGAACCTTCAATGCATGAAAATTTCCTAAAGAAAAGAAATAATATTCAGAAGAATATACAACACAGTCAGGAGGAACACAATCATACAATGAAGCATCAAATAGAGGTTAGTGTACAATCAGGGTTATTGAAAAGGAAATTAAGATATAAAAATATGAAAACAGAAAATACAGAAGAAGAATCGGCTTCGCCTACTAAAGATGAAAGTAGTGTAAGATGCCCTCAATTTAATATTATCAATCAGGATGCTCAGAATATGTGTGAATTGCCACTATCATCGTTTCACATTTATCGTCAGAAATCACCACAGGTGTGTCCATCCGGGAACATGTACAAACAATTAAAATGTGTGGGTATTCAACAGCTGAGGAGCATGTCTCCACAAAAGCAACAGATTTTATTAAACTTTCATGGAGACTCTACAATGAATACCATTTCAAAGGAAGATTCCAAATCAGAGGATTCTCAACGCACCATTGAAGATAATATTTGGGAAGATGCGACTCTATTGTATGAATCTTTACGGAAGTCGGGAAATAAGACTTACCTAAAACTCCCAAAAAAAGGAATAAAGATTGACACGGATGTAGCTAAAATAAATAAGGATAAATGTATAACCGAAGTTTCGAGTAATATTCTTATTAAGTCTGGAATTAAGTGGACATTGCAGAATATGGATGCTAAAAAGCAAACAATTTTATCGACAGATGAAGAAACACCGTAAAAAAAACACTTTGTTTCTGCGAAGAAAGGTAAATTCAGTCTGATTGGTTTTGCTACAGTTCATTTTACATATAAATTAAATTTTATTTAGAGTCTATTGTTATCAATACTATTCTTTCAATATTCTAAGATGTTATTCTACTATTCCTCCAAGTGCCTTGTAAAATTAATTTGAAATATAACTGTATATATTTTTCATATCCGAATGTGTCAAAAAGTAATAATGTGACATTAATAATTTATGTCTGAAAAATCATATTAAGAAAAATGTCAAGCTTCTGTGCAGAAAAGTAAGGTTATTTCGATTGTTTCTGTTTCTTTTTGTTTTAAATGTGATTCATTCGAAATTATATTTTTTAATACACTTCTACAATTAAATTTGTTTGAATGTTTTAAATACTTTCTTAACATTATAAGTAATATATAATGTCTACACGGAAGATTAGATTTGTTGGAAGATACCGTCGTTTCAATAATGTAAGATTAATTCTTGTCTTCTAAACTGTACATATTCTAAATATTTTAATATCTGAACAAGTGAGACAATAATAATCTGGTATTAATTTATATTCCTTAAAAACAATGGTAAGAAGATTTCAAGCATAAAAAGTATATTTCGGGTAAGTTTATCATGAATTCACACAGATTTTTAAACTATTAAAAATTAAAAAATATTATCGTGTTTGTCACATTGTAAGAAAAGTTTTCTTTCTCAAAATTTATAGTAATATATACTGTTCTTTATGCAACAAATTATTACTATAAAATCTAACACAATGATTTCATATTATACAGTATTGTTTTTTACAGGTTTAACATGTACAAATAGAAAGAAAAATATGATAGGTGAGTAAATCTACAATGTGTACAATCATTTTAAAATAAGCCTTACACACTTATTAACAGAACTAAGGATTTTAAATAGAAATTTCGATAAACTTACACATACTTTATGAAAGTGAGTGTCACTACAAAAGAAACATTGGGTAAATGTATGAGCCGCCTCCTCATCATGAGACAAATTTCTAATTTCCAAAGATGTCGTTAATAAAGTACATGTAACAAACATCTGAATGGGTACTGTTTGCAGATGTAATACACAAAAAGTTTTTATTTCTTGAGGACAGCACTGTTTTAAATGGCAAATAAATATTCATAATAGTATATACAAGTCTTAACTATGTAAATAATCGTGATAATTATTGCAAATTTGTTAATCATAAAGGTTAGTTTAACATAATACATAATTAGACTGTAGATTTTATGCAGTTATGTATTTAATAATCTAATAAGGTCAAATCAACAAAGAGTTTTTTGGTTTATCTTTTTCTTTTATGTTGGAAGATATTTCTATTTAACACTTGTTTCTTAATTTGCATAAACAGTTATAGTTTACATGTGTTTAGTGTAATAGTAAAGTTGAATTTGCACAACTGTAATATTTCTTTTAATCGATAAAAATGATATTATCCGTCCCCCTAATTGAATTGAGGATCACCATGAACATATTCTCCTTAGCGATATTACGATTATGAAGCTCTTTCTTTTCAATGTCAATTTCAATGAACATTAATCGCATACATAAACCAGATTGTCAGTTGTAATTTAATTTATCCATTGGAGTGTCGTTCAGCGCGATTGCGTTGCTCACATTGCGTGTCGAAAAGTGTCTTAGAATGCCTTATGAAGTCCAACTGCATTAGCAATATAAACACTTAAGTAATGGTTTTCAATTGTTAAACACAAATATTTACACAAATACGTAACCGTAAAATACTAAACGTATTTTGCTTAATCAATTATAGGACTGCAACTTAGTAGTATAAATAGTGTTTTTCGACATGGAACGAAAGAAGCACGATCGTGCTGCTTGGCATTTTCCCATCGAATTTCTGGCAATGATCTGCAGCATTCAAACTATACTATATTAAATATTTCTTCTGTATAGCTTTGGTATTCCATGTTCAGTAAAAACAGCATTTTCTAATATTATGGTTTAATTGCTATTCACAGTATAATACAGAATATACAGGGTACTAATAAAAGTATGAAACATTTTCACGTGGTGTATTCTACATGTCAAATCAAGACGAAAATCAGGAATTACGAAATTGCGTTAGAGACTTTATTTTCGAGTTACTGTTCAAAATACAGATAAAATACTATAGGAGATCTTATGGAACAGGCGGTGCACAGCGGGGTATTTGACCCGAAAAGCTGGCCAAAACTATTTTAAAATTTACTCAATCTTCAAACTCTCATAACTTTCTACTATTCATCCAAAGTTGATGAACCAAAATCATTTTAAAGTTTGAACATTCTAGTTTTGAAAATTCCTCCTTAAGTGGGGAGCCTGGTGTAGCGGCAAAAAAAAATCGATTTTTTTTTCCTTCATAAATCGATAGTTTAACACCCTGCAAATGTCCTCCCAAAGCCACAGAACGAAATTCAAAAAATTAAACCTGCTACAGACGTTTTTGTTATGGAGTAGACGACGCAGGTATACCAGAAAGCGCGCGGCGCAGCGCGATGTGCTCAGTTTCTCGGTCCGTTATAAGTTAAATACACAAATTATATTGAAGGCGGGGACTCGAAGATATTATTGCAAAATAATAAAAAGTGAATACGTTGGTCACGTCGAGAAAAGGATGGGAAGTCGCCTGCGAACTGTCAGAAAATCTGCCAAACTTGAAGGAAAAGGAAAACTAACAGAGGTCCTTATTAGAAAATTGACAAAGTATTATGGTTTAGCCATAAGAAGGAATTCCGAATCTGTCGAAGAAATGCAGAAGGCTATAACGGCCACTTTTTTCATATGATTTCCACCGACAAAAAGCCGCTCCATCAAAACTGTCCCGCAGGATTTAACTCGTGGTGTAAATGGCGCATCGCAGAGGCTTCAGGTGATGTAAAAAAACACAGACACCCACCTGCACTTCATCCGGAGGTTCAAAAGATGATTCTTCCAATTTATAAAGATTTGTCACGTCTAGATTTGTTAGAAAGATGCTTAGGGGGCCATACGCAGAATGCAAATGAGAGTTTTAATTCCACCGTGTGGCGACTGGTACCTAAGCATCTAAATTGCGGCTTCAAAATTGTGGAAATTGCTTCCTTCTTAGCTGCTGGAAAATTTAACGAGGGATACAATTTTGTTCTACAATTAATGCAAGAGTTGAACTTAGTGATTGGGCAACAATGCAAGATGTTCGCCAACGTGTACGACGCGCAGCGGCTGAAGAGACAACAGCGTCGTAGCTTCAGCAGTACCAGAGAGGCACGAATTGCAAGGAAAGAAAAGAATGGGACCTTACTTGAAGAGTTTGAGGAAGAGAAGGGTCTAATGTATGGGCCTGGTATAGCGGATTAGCATGAAACAGCTGTAAGTATCCGAAAACTGTTATTTATCTTCACCGAAAACTTTAAACGTGTTTTTCTCGAAACGACGTTTTTCAAATTGGCGTGCAATGTAACTCAAAAAGTATTCAACCGATCGAGTTGGCCTTTTGCATAGATATTCGCGAACATTTTCTGCATAGAATGAACCTATTGTTCCAATGATATTGTTTAAAAAAACCATTTTTTTATAAACATTTAAAGCAAAATTTAGCTGAAAAAAATTAATTTTTTCTTCAAGAAGCTGTGATTTCTACAATTTTGTTTCTATTAACTTATATTTAGGTTCATTCTATGCGTATACTCTTTAACTAAAGAAATCTTGTTGAATATTTGATTTCAGACGAATACACCAGACTGTACGTTGCACGCCGCGAAACAACCCTAGTAGCAAAAAATATTGTATACATATTCATACAATATTAAAAAGAGATACAATCTGTTTTTAATATTTAAATATACATATAATATTTATTCTACATTAAAAAACAAATATTCTTTTTCAAATATGCAGGAAATATCTATTCCATGTTACGAGAAAAATATTTTTTTCTAAATACAAAATGAATCTTTATTTAATATTAGAAATGGAATATTTTTTTCCTAATATACAGATAATATTTATTTCATATTATGAAAAAAAAATTTTTTTCTCATTGAATGACTAAAATGAATCTTTATTTAATATTAGAAATAGAATATTTTTTTTTAAATATGCAGGAAATACTTTTCATGGAAAAATATTTGTTCCAGAATATGCAAGACATACAACTTTCATATTACGAATGAAATATTGGTTTCAAATATAAAATAAATCTTTATTCAATACTGGAAGTAAAATGTTTATTTTTAATTTACTTTGAATTCGAGTGTGTCACTTAATTGACATACATTTATATTATAAGAACATTAATTAATTAATTAATTAATTAATTAATTAATGTTCTTATTATGTGCGACAAAGTTGCACGAACAATAATCGTAACTCTTATGTCTCACGCAACGTGATTGAAGAGTATAAGATTAAAAAAGAGATCTTTCTCGGATTTGTCTAAACAGAGTCTGGAGATTAGACTCGCGGCGCTAGAAAATATAAACATTCGACTGCAGTCAAAGTATTTGGGAGAGGTCCTGGGCTTGTTGCAGCGGAGATCATTCATTCATTAGCGAGCAATCTGTGTTGGGACGCAACGTATACAATGTGAGACCCACGAAAGTGTCTCTAGAATAAATTTGACACCAAATCCCAAGACTTCGACCATCCGACTAGAAGAAATAAATCAGTCGAAGTGTCGAAGGCTCTTGAGCTCGAAGCGACGGGACTCGTCCGATCTTTTGTGCGACTTTCCGGCGCCATAACATTTACAGTTTAAGACAACGTCTGGACCATTTTCTAGAGCTCACCCCCAATTTTCTCCCACTTTGCTTCATCACCTCCACCACAATTTTCACATCCCTAAACAAGTATCTTTGCGTTCTAGTCTTCAGTCTTCAGCCAGCTCTCACATAAGGTATAACATCGTAGTTTGAACCATTAATTGAACCATAATTTGACCACAATAATTAGTTTGTGTGCGTGTATAGTTTACGGAAACTATAATATATATATTTTGTGTAATAATACAAACGATACGGATACCTGTCTACACCTGCATTTCATCGATCGCAGAAAATGTAAGTACATTTATGTAATATATTTTAAATAAATATACATATTTCATTTTCTAAAGACTTTCAATTAAAGTTTTGGTAAATGTTACGTTTAGGGCAGGCACCTTGGATGACATATGTTGTTAAGGTCAACATTCTGAACAACTTTTCTCTATACATCTATCCGTCGCTTGGACTTAGTTTCCGAGATAATTGCAATAAACTTTCGTTAAATTTTGGTTACAAGTACACTTTTTTCTCATACAAGCTGTCACCAAATAGTAATTAAAATATACAGAATAAAATACAAGTTGTTTTGTGGTTAGTTTGGCGGTGAGGGCCGCCCGACTACGCTTACAATGTTCCACATTTTGATTTCGTACATGTGTTTTTATTTGACGCGTACGTTGCCAATCCAAATGATTGTTTTCCTTAATACTTGCTTCATTTCCACGCACATATTAGTCGTTTTATCCTTTAATACTTAATATAACTGTTACATTTTTCAAAATTTTTTTGTTCATAACTTTTTAATTAAAAACGAGCGACGGCTAAAACCTCTTGGGGGTTACTCAAAAAGGTGACTTTGACAACATATATCAAGGTCAAGGTCATCCGAGTTGCCTCTCCTAAACGTAACATTTATCAAAGCTTTCAAAGATAGTTTTTCATACACCATTTATTTTGCAGTTACACAATTAAATTTCACAATGGCCGAAAAACGTTACAAAAAATATAAATTTATAAAGAAACAGATAGCTTTCAATCAGAATCGGATGAGTCTTGATACCGTAGAAGAAAGTATAATCATGCCAAATAATTCGAAAACAATTAATGACCCCGTCATATCCGATCAGAATCCACAGTTTGATCTTCAAATTACAAATAATAGGAATAACACAAATTACATTACAGATGATACTTTTAGAAATTTTAAATTAATTACATTTTTAAAAACATGGTCCCTAGAAAATAAAATCAATCATACCTAACTAAACAATTTATTAAAAGGCTTGAAGGACATTTTTCCTGAATATCAGATTCCACGCGCTGCACGAACTATACTAAAGACTATGCGCTCATCAAGCAATATTACATCACTTATTAGCAAAAAGAATACGATAGCTCAATATTCATATTTAGGTATAAAGGCGCATTTATTCACTTTATTAGAAAATGAAAGTGTATTGACGGAGCTGAAAGAAACATTTATGTTTTAATTAATTTTTAATGTCGATGGTATTCCACTTTCAAAAAGTTCAAATAAACAGTTTTGGCCCATTTTCTGCAAAATAGTATTGAAACATTGTACGGTGTCCCCTTTTCCAATAGCAATATATTATGGCGATGCAAAACCTAATTCCTTGACTGATTATTTAAATGATTTTGTACATGAATTGAACGATATTTTAGAATATGGATTATTTTACGATGGTAATAATTTTAAAGTAACTGTTATATGTTTTACGTGTGATGCACCTGCGAGAGCATTTTTAAAAAATATTAAAATACATACGGGTTACAAAGGTTGCGAAAGATGTACAGAAACGGGTACATATTACAAAAAACGAATTAGTTATGTAAAACATGACGCTAGCGCTCGAACGCATTCCCATTTTGAAAACTTTCACGAAACTGCTCATCATCAAAATAATCAAAGAACACCTCTGTTAAATATAATTAAACTCGATATAATAAAACATTTTGCTCTAGATTATATGCATTTATGTTGCTTAGGGGTAATGAAAAAATTACTCGGTCATTGGTGCAAAATACAGCTTGGAATTTCAGATAAAAATAAACTATCAAAGAGAATGACATCTTCTGCAAAATATGTACCCAGTGAATTTAATCGTAAATCGCGTCCCATATCGGAGCTACCTAGATTCAAAGCTACAGAGTTCCGACTATTCATTTTATACTTGGGACCCATTCTGTTAAAACAAATTCTTCCAGATAATTATTATGATCACTTCTTGTTATTTCATGTCGCTATTAGAATTTTATTACATAATAAGTTATATCCAAACGCAGAGTGGTTAAATACAGCTCGGGGAATGCTATTTAAATTTATTGACAATTGTTCTAGTCTTTATGGCAGAGAATTTTGTACATATAATATTCATAATTTAGTGCACATTTCAGACGACGTAGAAAATTTAAGATATTCTTTGGAGGAATTAAGTTGCTTCCCTTTTGAAAACTATTTAGGAAAGCTAGTAAGCATGCTACGTAGATGGAATAAACCTTTAGCACAAATAACAAATAGATTATCGGAAAATGGAATACCTACAGTCACGGAAAATATTAATACCCAAATAAGAATTACAATCAGCAATATCAAAAAAACAATACAACTTCCTTATTTTAAGTTAAAAGCGTATGGATTTTGTGACCGTTATGTCTTTTTAAAAAATGGACATGTCCTACAAGTCACAGACATATTAGAAAACAGAATAGTTGGGAAATTATCAACAAAATTAAAAAATTTGTATAAACACCCTATTAAATCCAAAATAATAGGAAAATTTAAATTTGATAAATTCACTGATGAAATCTTGTCTTACGAACTAAATGAAATTTTGTACAAATCATTCGTAGTTAAATGCCATTCATATTTCGTAGCATGTGAACTGCTTCATCAATATCATTAAATTTAAGTTTAAATACGTTATTTTAAAGTAAATATTAATTGAAGTATTTATAAATTTATATTTTTAAGGATTATTTCATATAATTTTTAAAATGTCGCCAACGAGGAAAGCCCACCACAATGTATCCAAAAAACGCATTATTTTCGAATCATCCGACTCATCTGATTCTTCGAAAGAAAGCCAACCAATTGAGCGATCGCAAATGGAAACACCAAGTAAGTCAGAAAATAGACAAAAATGCGGTACTTTGGGATTATCCCGTCGACCTCTTAACGCTCGCGAAAATGCGCAAATCCTTGAAAAGCAAGTTCCAAAATAAACATTCTAAACACATTAAATGTATGAAGTAATAATAATAATAAAATAATAATAACAAAAAAAATGTAAGTGAAATAATACGTAATAATAAAGTGTAATAAAAACAAAGAATCAAAACAAAGTAAAAAACTCTATTTTTTGTTATAATTACACATTGAATAGGAGCGCAGAGCACCGATGATGCATTCGGTACTGGGATAGGTCTGGGTTAGGTACTTTTTGATTTTTTACCTTAGATAAGATGGCAAAGAATAAGCCTATGAGCTTGAAACGACGACAGGCACTGCGTTTGCGCCAGAAGAGAATAAATAAGGAGAAGAAACACCGCTCAGGGGTGAAGTCGAGAATGAGCAGGGAGGACAGGCTCCGGGAAACGGAGAAAAGGAGGAGGAAATGGGAGGACTAGTGACACCCACGACATGGGATAACTGATCGCAGGACGCGGACGACGAGGCGGAAGTGATGCGGTTGCATTACGAGAGGCAAGCGGAAGAGAGGTTCCAGGAGGGAGGCGGTGAGGGGGAGGGGTGTAGTTATTGGGGGAAGGAGGTAATAGAGATCCAAGATGAGGAGAACATTAGGGGAAGGGTCAATTTAAACTATAGCCCAATCACTTCTCCAATTAGTGGGGTGTGGGAGGAGGATATGGGGGAGGGGGTAAGACTCCCATCACCTTTGGGGACGGGGGAGGAGGAAGAAGGACAATGGGAGGGAACGAGCGAGTGGGAGCGGATGGTGCTAAGTCGACACTTCCAACCAATGGTGGTGGGGGATAGGGGGATGTTGATAAGCGAGGACGTCACCCTGATATTTCAGAGGGATGAGTCTCTACAGGATTATATGGGCGAAGGGGGGGCAACGTTGGTGGAGGTTGGGGTGGAGGAGGAGGATGTGATCACGCTGGACTAACACTTCGGTAAGAAAAATGAGCCATACCACATACACAGTTCCTTGTACCAAGTAATCACGGTTAGGGGTTGATTTAGGTAGGAAAGGGAAAAAGAAAGAAATATATACAGGGTGTCCCACAAATGTCCTCCGACCCGGAAATGTGGCACTCGGGGGGTGAATTGGAACAACTTTTTCCTTAGCCAAAATTTAAACTGAGGCTTCGTTTACGAGATATTAACGAAAAACCGCGACCAATCAGAGCGCGAGTTTGCCAGCCGAGTTCCCGCGCTAGCGGTGGCTACGCGCTACGCTTGTACTACGAAACTTCGAACAAGTAGGTCACCATGCATCGCAGGAAACCGCGTATAATAATAGCAAATAAACAAGACGTAACAAATAAAATCATACTTCTTATCATCTGTCTTTTGTTATTTAACGAGATTAGTGAATGAAACGTAAATGTAGGCAAATTATGTGTAACGTAAAAAGACGAATGCACATTTACATTTTTGTAAATTCCTTTGTACGAATTTGTAAATTTCCTTTTCAAATAACGTGTGAACGAAAAGGTAATGTAACAGAAAATAAACGAGAAGTTATTGTACTTCGGTGAAATTAATAAAACAATAATGACCAATAAACTGAATAGAACTCACCCTTACGGAAATTCACCTGCAGCGTAGAAACCTGCGTCAGTAGGTCAGTGTACCGAGCCTGGGCATCGACGGACGAAATGGTTTATGGCAGGGTAGAGTCCATGCCACTGGTGATCGCAGGTATGCGACACCAGCCGACGTTAAGAGTTGCAACGTCAAGTGCCGCCGGGTTAATCCATCGAATATGTATTCACTTCACTGCACTGCACTAACACTGATCACCCGACACAATCACTTAATGTATTTTTAATCCAACGTGTTGTTACTACGTTAGGAAAATTCGTGGCCTCGGAAAGGGCCGATTGTTTTCAATTTTTCAGATGTTTTACGTAACCAAACACTTGCACAGCAACACCCGCATATCCGTTATTGTGTACGTACCACCATAACATTGCGTAATACTCCCGTGAACTGAACATCTCTGTCGCCCGATTGCTAACCGACTGACAGAATTTTTCCTCTACCCCCAAGTAGTTTCCCATCGTTACATTGTGAGTTCACTCCCACCACGACAAGATTTAGGTAAAACGAAACCAACGGTTCTAGGATAACACGTGCTTTGCAGAAGTGCAAGGGAAGAACCGTCGCGCAGTTTCTCCAAGGCGCCGTAGCCCGTTAATTTATTGCCAGGGTACCCACTGCTTCGAGATAGAAAACAGACGTCACGTGCATCGGCTTGAAAATGTCCGAAATGAAGAGGCCCTGGCCGACCACCCTTGTAGAGGCCGGAGTGGAATTTTCGGTTATTTATGGCTTAAAATCTTCGGCCTCGTAGCAATCGTGAACTCACAACAGAATTGACAATCGACAATTTTATTACAACTTTGTGAAATTGTAGTTCTCATGAAAACATTTCATACGTATTTTTTTTTTTAGTATTCCGTCAAATATCTCGGAATTTATTAGAAATATAAAAACCGTACAATTTGCAATATTGTGTTTGTTTTGATATTGAATGTAGCTATATCATTGAATTCCAGAATAATCCCTTTCTTTAAACAATCTTTCGACGACTCCTGACAGTGCGCGCTGCAGGTAAATCCAAAAAAAATACTACCGTATTCGTTGAACTCTTTTCCGTAAATCATTGACACTTTGATATAGCTTTTAATCTCATTGAAATAGTCTGGAGCGTTAGCGATACCATCAGTCGACTGTAATAGTGGAGCGCCCGATTCTTTTACCTGAACCGGGGCGCACCGCTGTCTTCAATGGGTTACTATTACGTTAATATGAACCGCATCACCCTACCGATAGGCTTATTTTACGGAAAAGAATTTAACGAATACGGTTTTTATATTTCTAATAATTTCCGAGATATTTGACGGAATACTAAAAAAAAAAATACGTATGAAATGTTTTCATGAGAACTACAATTTCACAAAGTTGTAATAAAATTGTCGATTGTCAATTCTGTTGTGAGTTCACGATTGCTACGAGGCCGAAGATTTTAAGCCATAAATAACCGAAAATTCCACTCCGGCCTCTACAAGGGTGGTCGTCCAGGGCCTTGCAGCGTCAACTGACACGTGTCGGTAAATTTTTTTCCCTGCTCCTCGAGATAGACAATGTACACTGTACTTTCCAACTCGAAGCAAGGGATACGTTGATGGTCCTCTTCATTTCGGACATTTTTAAGCCGATGCACGTGATGTCTGTTTTCTATCTCGAAGAAGTAGGTATCCTGGCAATAAATTAACGGGCTACGGCGCGGCGCCTTGGAGAAACTGCGCGACGGTCCTTTCCTTCCAGTTCTGCAAAGCACGTGTTATCCTAGAACCGTTGGTTTCTTTCTACCTAAATCTTGTCATGGTGGGAGTGAACTCACAATGTAACGATGGGAAACTACTTGGGGGTAGAGGAAAAATTCTGTCAGTCGGTTAGCAATCGGGCGACAGAGATGTTCAGTTCACGGGAGTATTACGCAATGTTATGGTGGTACGTACACAATAACGGATATGCGGGTGTTGCTGTGCAAGTGTTTGGTTACGTAAAACATCTGAAAAATTGAAAACAATCGGCCCTTTCCGAGGCCACGAATTTTCCTAACGTAGTAACAACACGTTGGATTAAAAATACATTAAGTGATTGTGTCGGGTGATCAGTGTTAGTGGTCGTGCAGTGAAGCGAGTAAGTATTCTGTGGAATTACCAGGACGCACTTGACGTTACAACCCTTAACTTCGGCTGGTGAGGTATACCTGCGATCACCTGCGAACTGGGCCATACCCTGCCATAAACCGTTTGGGCCGTCGATGACCAGGATCGGTACACTGACCTACTGACGCAGGTTTCTACGCTGCAGGTGAATTTCCGTAAGGGTGAGTTCTATTCAGTTTATTGGTCATTATTGTTTTATTAATTTCACCGAACTACAATTACTTCTCGTTTATTCTTTGTTACATTACCTTTTCGTTCACACGTTATTTGAAAAGGAAATTTACAAATTCGTAAAAAGGAATTTACAAAAATGTAAATGTGCATTCGTCTTTTTACGTTAAACATAATTTGCCTACATTTACGTTTCATTCATTAATCTCTTTAAATAACAAACGACAAATGATAAAAAGTATGATTTTATTTGTTACGTCTTGTTTATTTGCTATTATTATACGCGGTTTCCTGCGATGCATGGTAACCTACTTGTTCGGAGCATCGTAGTACAAGCGTAGCGCGTAGCCACCGCTAGCGCGGGAACTCGGCTGGCAAACTCGCGCTCTGATTGGTCGCGGTTTTTCGTTAATATCTCGTAAACGAAGCCTCAGTTTAAATCTTTGCTAAGGAAAAAGTTGTTCCAATTCACCGCCCGAGTGCCACATTTCCGGGTCGGAGGACATTTTTGGGACACCCTGTATATATAAAAATAATAAAAACAAAAGATATATATGTAATAATACTTTATAATAATACATATATATAAATAGAAATAAGCAATATAAGAGCAAGAGTAGGGGGAAGGTTTTTGTAACACACAGCATAGGAGTAGGAAGTTTGTAGTAGGTCGTTAAATATTACTTCAGTATTGTTTATTTGTATCGATATAAAGGAGTCCAGCGAAGGAAAGGAAGGGAAGAAAAGAAGAATGTGGTCGCAGATGGAATCAGAATCCCCCGAGATGGTTATTGATGACTCTGGGTCGATAGAATCGGGAAACGAGGCAGGGGACGAGGACAGCAGAAGGATGCCAAGGGAGTTGTGTGAGACGAGCGGGGAAGGACAGAGGAGAAAGGACAAAGGGAAGGAGAAGGGGGG